CACTGGATTTTAGGCAAACGTTCTGTTCCTTCCTAATTTCACGACTTTATTCTCACATGCATGCATCTTTGAGACAGAAAAACATTTCAGCCACTATTGCTAAAATTGCTGTTTCTCATTTATCTTTTTAGGTTCTTCTAGAAACTCATTAATACTGAAACTCAACTGGGTACCTCCTTCGCCATTTATTGCTTGGGGATTTTAAAAGCTTTATGTATCTGTCTCTTGATTTGAGATCCACTGACAATTAGAACACACCTTTTTACTATTTGAGGGAGCCCTGATTTAAGTGAGTAATTGTATTACGTTCCTGTGATTGCCATAAGAAAGCACCGCAAATTTAGTGGCTTAAACCTGTAGAAATTTATCTTCTTACAGTTCTGGAGGCCAGATGTTAGAGATCGAGGTGTGTGTTGGCCTCACTCCCTCCAGAGGCTCCAGGGAGGAGCCTGTCTCTCCTCCAGCTCCTGGTGCTGCTGGCATCCCCTGGCTTGTGGCCACATCCTCCAGGCTCTGCCTCGGGGTCACATGGCTCCTCCTCTCTGTCTCAACTCTCCTCCGCCTCTTGTGTAAGGACACTTGTCATGAGGTGTGGGGCCCACCCAGATAATCCAGATGATCTCCCCATTGCCCTGCTGAAATCGGTTGGAATTTACTTTAAAATGTATTTTATTCTAATGGCTCTGTTTGCCAAGTCTCTCTTCCCCAAATGCTAACTAACAGTAAAATTTCAAATTTGATATAAATAAATTAGTTTTTCTACTGACCTACTTTGAGTGTAAAATAGTGGTAGGGATTCTGTGTACATAATTTACTTTGTTTCTCTCGTAAATTTGTCTACTTTTGTGGAGCTGAATACAATGAGAGTTGAGTCTTCTTTAAAGAATATATTTTTATTGATTTCAGAGAGGATGGGAGAGCAAGAGAGGGATGGAAACATCAATGATGAGAGAGAATCATTGATCGGCTGCCTCCTGCACACCCCACACTGGGATGGAGTCTGCAACCGGGGCCTGTGCCCTGACCAGGAATTGAACCTTGACCTCCTGGTTCATAGGTCGACACTCAACCACTCAACCACTGAGCCACGCTGGCTGGGCGAGTTGACGCTTCTTAAATGGAATTAGATGTTAATTTTCCCTTTAATGTTTCCTTATTATTACTATGGTTTCTCTTTTTTATAGCAAGGGTGGAGATTTATTGACGAACAAGGACAAACTCCCACGTGGGGGAGGGGAAGAGCCCCATTGCTATGGTTTCTTAAACAGGTTGATGTTAATAGACATTCAAAGCTAAGGAACAACTGCTCACTAAGGAACCGAGAGCCCATTCTCCGCTCATTCCTTCCTTCCGGGCTGGAGTGGGCACCTCGTTCCAGGGCCTGCGCTGGACACTGCAGGGTGCAGGGGCGACCACCGTGGAAGGCCCTGCCCTTACGGAGCTCAGTCTAGGGGGCCAGGACATGGCAGGGGAAGGGCTGTGTGTGTGCTCTGTGAGCTCGAGGTGGAGGTGGGGCCTGGGCAGCTTCCAGAAGCCTGTGCCCTGAGCCTGGAGCCTGAGAAGGAGCCAGTGGGAAGGTCTGTGGTCGCCCTGGGCGCCGAGTCAGGGAGGGTGGGTGCGCGGAGAGTGCGGAGCTTCCCAGGCTGTGCGGGGAGGCGGGCAGGGCGCTGTGATGGACAGGGAGTCAGCCAGCTTCTGAGTGGGCCTGCGCTGTGCACTGAAGGGCATGTCGCTCCGCACCGAGGCACCAGTAGTTCACGTGTTCACTGGCCAAGGCAGTCTAGCTGGGGGCCCCGTTTTCTGGGGCTGTGGTGCTAGTGGTGAGGGTCTATTGCAGTGATTCCCGAAGTGGGCGCTACCGCCCCCTGGTGGGCGCTGCAGCGATCGGGGGGGCAGTGATGGCCACAGATGCATTTGGGGGCATATATCTTTCTGTTTAATTGCTATTAAAATTTTTAAAAAATTAATTTCCAGGGGGCACTGAGTAATATTTTTTCTGGAAAGGGGGCGGTAGGCCAAATAAGTTTGGGAACCACTGGTCTATTGGTTGTACTTACACTTGGAGGAAGGTGGACAGTCAGAATAGGAGGCAGCACTGAAACGGGAGCGTGCGTGTCGCTCTGTGACACGGACTAAGACCCAATCGTGGGAGCGGCTGCAGCGTGTGGGGAGCTGCGTGGACCCTCCCAGAGGCGACGTGCAGGGTGTGTCCGGGAGAGGCTCTCCTGGCACCTGTGAACGCGCCTCCTCCGGTCGGTCGGCCGGCCAGGCTTTCCACTCCGTGGTTCCAGCTGCCACCGGAGGCCTTGGGGCTGCTGTCTGTCTACTTCCTTCCACTCGACACCCAGCCTGTCCTGCTCTGTCCTGGCCTCACCCCATCTCAATGTCAGGGTCACTTTACGTAGCTAACGTGTGAACTGTGAGCATTCACACATTTAAGACCTGTTTTCCTTCTACAGGATGGGAAGCCCTTGGAGGTGGCAGTGAGGGCAGAAGGACTTGATGTTGTTCTTTGTAGCCAAAGGGCCGCACAGTCTGCAGGGACTCTGGCCTGGGCTAGTGGAGGGGGGTGCCCCCAGGGTGGGTCTGACCGTCCTGGGCTAGTGGAAGGGGGTGCCCCCAGGGTGGGTCTGACCGGCCTGGGCTAGTGGAGGGGGGTGCCCCCAGGGTGGGTCTGACCGTCCTGGGCTAGTGGAGGGGGGTGCCCCCAGGGTGGGTCTGACTGGCCTGGGCTAGTGGAGAGGCGGGTCGAGCAGGGTCTGCAGGTGCAGTGAGTCTGGGCACGTTCTTTACTAGGTCAGGAGGGAGAGGCGACTCCGCCCTCAGAACCAGGTCAGAGGCCTGGTGGAGGGAGGGCTCTGGGAGCCTGAGGACAGGGAACCCTTGTTTGCTTGCCAGGAGACGCTGCTCTGGCTGCGGTTTTGAACCTGTGCCGTGCTCTCGGGCTGGTTCCTCTGTGTCCCTGTGGGAACTAGCAGTGAACACCCCGGCAGAGCTTTTGCAGAGGATAGTTTGTAACATTTGAAGGAGTTTGGGATCCCCGTGAGAAACCTGTGTGGTCCCTATTCCCTGCCCCACTGCCTGTCCGCTTGAGCAGGTCCGCTTCTCAGCTCCCTGAAGTACCCACGTCTCGTGGTCTGGAGACTCGCTGAGCTCCCTGACGGCCCACGTGGATGCCCAGGAAAACGCCGTGCAGAGGGCAGCGCCAGGACAGAGGTGGCTCGCAGTCAGACCTCTGAGCGGGAGGTCCCCTGGGTGCTGTGTGGTGGCTGCTTTTGCACATGGGTATTGGGCCAGTGGCGGCGTTTGCATTTGTCGCAGAGGGATCGTCACGTTCCTCATCAGTGGACTGTGACAGGCCAGAGAAAGACCGCAGGTTGTGTATGCATTACGGTCGGAGGCTGGTACTGGGTAACTGGTGACATATTTCATTGGCATGAAGCACATTGAAAAATGCATTTCAAATGATTATAATTAAACATGGAGTATACATTATATATGCAGTCTTATTCCAACTGAAATTCTTTGTGGCTGCATGTCTACCTAATCAGAGACCTTTATTTAGGAAGGTAGACTGGAGAGTTATTTTTCTTATTCATGAATCACTTACCCCAGTTTTGAATTTAAAAATTCACTTTATTGGGTAATAGGGCAGTTGCATTGTCTGGGATGGTTTCGATGTTGCAGGCCTGTTCCAGACAGAGGGTCTTGTCTGCCTCACCGCGCCTGGGAGGTGGTCCTGGCAGTGCGTGCGTTTCCAGGCGGGAGCAGGGTGGAGGGTGGGCCCTTGCTCAAGCTCCTCATGAGAGATGGACGAAGTTTCAAGGGGGAGCCGCTGGCAGACAAGGCTCCAGGCCCACCCGTGGGCTGGCACCAGCACTGACCACATGGAGGCCAGGCCCTGCGACCTGACCTTCCTGTGTGCAGCCTCTGAAGGCCCGGCTTCCCTTCTGGAAATGAAAAGTGACTCCACAGGCGAGAGCACCAAGCCGGCTGCGGGCCAGTGTGTGGTGCTCGCCCTTGCTCTGCACTCTGAGTTGTTCCACGATCGGTTTTGAATAAGCAGTTTGTGTTAATAAAAGGGGTGTTCTCCCCACAGCCAGGCACAGCAGCCCCCCCACCAGCTCCCGACAGACGCTTCCCCTGACGCTAGTGCAGGCAGTGCTGCCCAGGACGCCCCCGCAGGCCTGACTGGTGCCGACCTCCTGCACCAGGCAGCTCCCAGCTGCCCCTGCCAGCCAGGGTACGAGGGGCAGGCGCCCAGATGGCCACACCACAGCCCTGGCCTCATGCTCCTTCCTCCTCATTCTGCCCACCCCGAGGCAGGTGCCCGTGGGAAAGGAAATGGGAAAGTTCCAATGGAGTGTTGGGAGCTGGGCCCTGTGACTGGTGCAGGGCAGGGAGGAAGCCCTTTCCTCCACCCTCGGGTTTTCTACTGGGGCCTGCACACCACGCGGACGGGAGCCAGGTGAGCACAGGGCAGTCCTACGCGTTTCACTGCTGTGAACATTTTCATGTGCCCTGGGCCTCACAGGAAAAAGGTGGAAACCAAAAGGCCTGACACGCAGAGGTCAAAAGCCTCATCTTTTCCTGAACATTCACCTTCCTCTCATCTGAAACTCGCCCGTCCCGGACACCGCTGTTCTGAGTGCACCGCTCTTAACGCACACGGCGCTTCCGTAGCGCGTGCAAGTCTCCTCCAGGCACTGCACACCCCTCCTCCGCGGGGAGGCGCTGGGAAGGAAGGTGCCTCGTGAGCCGTGTCCGCACACGTCCAGTCGGCACATGTTGCTGTCTTTTGCTCACAAGAAATCGTGTTTCTTTCACTTTATGACCATTAACCTGTCCCACTCTTGACTACTTCAAACACGTGCCATCTCTGCCCTCGGAGACTCCAGGAGAAATCTGATTCTTGTTCATCGTGATTGGAAATAGACATGACATCATGTGTTTGTCAGTTGTTGGCATGGTCCCATTTGGTATGTTACTTAACTACATGCTTTAACATCTCAAAGTAATGCTTCTTTTTGTTTTATCTTGTAGATATTGCTATATGGAGATTTGCCAAAAAACAAAGAAAATATAATATATTTAGCAAATCATCAATGCACAGGTTTGTACTTCATTTGCATGAATCTTAGGTTTTTCTACAGAAAATATATGGACATTCAGAGTAATGTTCTTGTATACTTAAATGAAAATTTTTTGTTATTGTTAAAACATGACTTTTTAATGCAGATGTATATGTGACCTTGTATTTGTGGTTTTACTATGAATTTCCCTCGTCTTGCCTCTCCCTCTGATGAGTGTACATAGCTGTTTTCTCTTTCCCCCACTTCTTTGAACAGTACCCCAATGTCTGTGCGTCTTCCTTCTGGAGGTGATGTGTCTGGAAGGGGGCTGGTGGGTCGCGGGGTGTGTGCGTTTTATGTTTTGATGGTTGAGCTGCAGAAAGGGGTTCAGTATGTGAGGCCACATGTCCTCAGCACGACGTTCGTGTCTAACGGGCGCGGTTCCTTCTGCCTCTCCAGTGTAGGTTTAACACAGCTGGTTACTCCGACAGAGGCCTCTGAAGACTGGGTCTTCAGTGAAGCACAGCGTAGACTCAATTAGACACTTTAAACTTTCATTCTGCAGTAGTTATGGAGTTACAAGGATGATAAAAAATAGTGGCAAGGACTGCATGACCTCCTCCCCCAGTGATGACATCTTATCAGCTGGGTACAGCACCCAAAGCAACACATGCACCTTGGCTACCGCCCTCAGTTCTCCAAATAGCTCCGCTCAGAAGCACCCGCTTCCAGTTTCCTTAGACCTGTGCCTGCCTTCGAGGCGCACTTCCTACATTTCATCTTTACTCTTCGAAACCTAGTGCTCGGGAGCTAAAGCGAAAAGCAAGCTGGCCGTTGATAAGGCCTGAACCGAAGGCCTGTGTGCCTGCTGCCCGCACCTTCCCCCGCCCACTGCGCCTCTTCACGACTTAGTGCTTTTACTCCTCCCTCGCCATAGACACGGCAGAGAGAGGGAAAGAAGTTGAAATGTATTGTCCTCATTTAGCTTATTAGTGATTACACTCAGTTTTATTGGACAAGCGTTGACACTACCAAGTGTTCACAGGAGATTTTGTATTTTTTTAAAATATATATTATTGATTTCAGAGAGGAAGGGAGAGGGAGAGAGAGCCAGAAGCATCAGTGATGAGAGAGAATCATGGATCGGCTGCCTCCTGCACGCCCCACACTGGGGATGAGCATGTGCCCTGACCGGGAATCGAACCGTGACCTCCAGGTTCATAGGTTGACGCTCAACCACGGAGCCATGCCCGCCTGGCAACAGGAGTTTTAATGTCTCTGTGTATTCTGTGAACGCTATCAGCGTGACTGGCTCAGATTGTTTGATTTCATTACATTTGACTTACGCACCCCGCCCTGTGGTCAGGGTCTGCTGCTCACTCTGGCCTAGAAAGGAACCTTGCTCTGTCCTGTATGTGACTGTTTCTCCAGACAAAACTGGGCTCTTTCCTCCAACAGTCTTTCCCTCCCGGGCCTGTTGCCGGTGCCTGTTTCTACCAGAGCTCCATGAACTGAATAGGACGGATCGTGGGGTCAGGGCCGCCGTGACAGCCCAGATTTCCTCCGGTTGAGCTAGTGGCTCATGTCGTTTATGGAGCTGCTTCTCTGTTCAACAGGGTTCTCTCTTAAAGTGCCTCGTTCAAGTTCCCTGCCCCTTCCCTTGTTCCACGTGTGGAGGGGACACTGCTGTGTAAGGGGCCGTGGCCGTGGCGCTGGCGTGGAGTGGTCGCTGAGCACCGGACGGTGGCGGTGATGATGACGATGGTCACATGACAGCCGCTGCCGTGTCTGTGCCGTATCTGTGCGCTGACTGCGTGCCCTGCGGATACTTCACTTTAGAGCGGGGGGCTTCTGGGAGGCGTTTGGAAGAAAGCAGATTTTTAAACTACTTCCTGTGTTTGGAACTGGAAGGTGTGGTGGGCAGTCTGAGTGCAGTCACCTCACAGCACACCCGCCCCACCCCTCACCTTCCTCCAGGCTGCCTTTTGGGGCCAGGCCTGCACCACTCGCCATCAGAGTTGAGAAGGATCTTTTTTAAATGCCTTTTTAAAAAACCGTAACTTAGGGACAAAACTAAGTAGTGATTTTAAATTATTTTAGAATTACAGGCCTCAGTCAGAATACAGGGTGGGGCAAAATAGGCTTGCAGTTGTGAGTACACCAGACCGGGTTGGTTGTTGTATTATTACTTACTAGAGGCCCCATGCACGAAATTCATGCAAGTGAATTCATTCAAGTTGGGCCTTCCTTCCCCCGGCTGCTGGCACCAGCTTCCTTCTGGCACCCGGGACCCGGGCTTCCCTCGCAGCCCTGGCTTTGTCCAGGAGGACGTAGGTCTAATTAGCATGTTACGCTTTTATTATAGATTGTGTTCTTTCCCATGTTAACAACTGTAAACCTACTTTTGCCTCACCCTGTGTGATAGAAGATTTGAAAACCTTTTCCTAGAAAAAAAAAGGGCACATAAACATTTGCATAAGGTCTTAGGTTCCCGAGGCCCCTCCTGCTTTTCTGTGGACTGGGCCATTGGCCGGTGGGTCTAAAAAGGTGTCTTTTTAAAACCCTCTTGAGATAGAGTCACAGCTGAGTATCTAAAACTGAAGTAGCAGAAAGGTAAGTCCCAGGACTGCTGTGTAGCCTGGACTCTCTGGCTCACCTGCAGGCCGGTGGGACACGGGTCTTCCTGGCAGGCCTTGCAGAGGGTTCAGTGCCCGCGAGCTCCCTCCTCCCTCGTGTGCACTTGCTGTGTCCACGAGTCTAGTCTCTGCCACCTCATTCCTCTCCAGGGTCAGCAGGGCACAGTGGCTGCAAGCCTTCCTCTCCGCCTTCTTCACTGTCTGACTGACGGACCCTGTTGATCTCTTGACATGCTCCCCTTTCTTGGTTTAGGTGACATTTTTCTTGACTGACAACATGTATGGTGAGTAGATGGTCATAAGAAGGCGTGGGCTTTGGGGTCAGAGAGACCCCGGCCCCTGTGCCCTTCTGCAGCTCCCTGCCTCTCTGAGCTGTGTTGGTCAGGTCCAGGCAATACCGACGTAGCTGGCTCGTAATCTCACCGCGTGCCTGCTCGTGGGCACTTCCCAGCAGGAGCGATGGTGATGGTGGTGGTGATGATGGCAATGATAGCGATGGTGATGGTGATGGTGATGATGATGATCCAGCAGGAGCGATGGTGATGGTGGTGGTGATGATGGCAATGATAGCGATGGTGATGGTGGTGGTGATGATGGCAATGATAGCGATGATGGTGGTGATGGTGATGATGATGATCCAGCAAGAGTGATGGTGATGGTGGTGGTGATGATGGTGATGGTGGTGATGATGCTAAAGATGATGATGGTGATTGTGATGATGGT